GAGAGAGAGAGAGAGAGAATGTATAGATGAGTGTACATGTGTATGTTTGTGTGTGAGTATGTGAGAGTGCTTGTGTATGTATGTTTGTGTGTGTGTGAGTGTGTGTTTGTGTGTGTGTGTATGTGTGTGTGTGTGTGTGTGTGTGTGTGTGTGTGTGTGTGTAGGCCAGAGGTTAACCTCAGATATCATTCTTCAGGTGCTACCCACGTTGTCTTTTGATACCATGAAGGTTCCTCTGAGGCTTTTTAATCCCTGAACTACAGGCAGGGCTCCTTCAGAAGAGCCCAGAAGCTATATTGTTCTTGGTGACCTTGTTACTAGCCCAGTGGAAAAAATCTGAGAGGTAGAAGTAAGAGCACATGGCTGTAACCTCATCACCCGGGAGACTGAGATGGGATCATGGTTTCAAGGCCAGCCTGGGCTGCATAGAAGAAAGAGGAGGCTATACAAATGATACTTTGTCTACTTAAATTCATGCTATGGATATTTTCTAGCTGACAATCTATATGCATACATTAACTAATATCCAGATTCTTCGATCATAGTTGAGAAAACAAGTTCCAAGGAAGAATTTCCATTCCTGAGAAAGCGGACAGGTTATTTCAGGCCACTAATTGCTTATACAAATAAACCAGACAGGCGGTGTTACAATGGAGCAATATGCCCACTGCAAATTTTCTATCTGCTTCAAATGAGCATATGGGGAGAATTCTAGATTCTGGGGTTCTAGGGCATTGTTTAGGGGCATGTCCATCTTCTTTGTCCCTCGTTCCATACATGCTATAGATGGTGGGTACCAGTCTCACAAAAGGATATGGTCAGTGTCCATCTTTTACAGATATGCTGTAATCTATATCTTGAATGGGATGACACAACATTTAATTTATTTAGGATTCAAACCATAACCTTCCTTTGTCCTTATTTCTCCTGAAATTATATGTATATATAATTATTATTTATATTTATATGTAGATAATATAATATGCATATACACATATATGTGTATGTATGTATGTATGTATGTATGTATGTATGTATGTATGTATGTATATGAGACAGGGTATATAGCCCAGACTGGCCTCAAATTTGGTATGTAGCCAATGATAATCCTAAATTTCTGATTCCCCTCCCTATACCTCCTCAGTGCTGAGATTAGAGGTATGAATCACCATGTCCATTTTCTGTGATGCTAGGCCTTGAGCCCAGGGCCTTATGAATGCTAGGCAAACACCACCAACTGAGCTACATCCTCAGCTGTTTACTTTTGATGCATGTATGTCCATTATTATGTGTGCACATTCACATTTTTGTTATTTAGAGTGTTACTATGTAATCTTTCTGTCCAATCGTAATCTTGAATATAAAAGTCATTAAGAAATATAGATAATGCCTTTTGAAAATGAAAGGAGAAGAAGTCATGCTTGATTTTGAAAGCCACAGAATTAGTATAAAACATTGAGGTGAGGGAACAGAGTGTGCACTGAAATTGGAAGGAGCCGAAAGAATGGAACTGTGTGCAGCTGGAGACAGTCCTCTTCTATTTTGGGGGCGGGGTGGGCATGGAGATGAGCAGCAGGTACACACTAGAGCATCAGATTTTCAGTTGAACATGAATTCAAAATATAAATATGAAAGCTAGCCTTGTGATTTTTATTAAATTTAAGTGTAAATATGGATTAGAAAAACTTTCCACGTCTAACCTACTCTTGGATTCATACACTGCAGTAAGATGAGTGAGCGCATTGGCTTGACTAGTAATAACACAGGTGTGCCTGTCACTGCGCTCAGCAGCTGGTGGAGAATTTAGAGTTCAGTTGAGACCAGTTTCTTAATTTTTGAGATGAGGAAACCAAGGCCCAAAGTAGGTCAGGTAAATTTCAGTACCACGGGTCTGTTTCCCACCAAATGTAGAGTGATGCACAAACTGTAAAAGGTTGTAGTTATAAACATATACAGAGAAGGAGAGAAGGCAAGCAACGTCTTTTAAAAATGCCTTAAATTAAAAAAAAAAAAGCAATTCAACTTGAGAATCACAGATCACTTGATATTCAGTACTTAAAAGAAATAATTCTAAATTTAGACACCATGTTTTGCTTTAAGAAAAAAATCCATACATTAGCTCTGTGAACCTGTGAGTATAGTTCTTTATGACTGCAGCAAAAAACAATTTTCTGGAGGACAATTCATTATGACAACTTTGGAGATAAGGAATAATTTATTTCGCTGGCTTCACTGTTACGACAAATTGTGCTTTTTCAGATATTAATGGTCTTGTTTCTTTCCCTTAGACATCATTATTCATTTCTTTAATGTGCGTGGTAACTTAAACATAATCCTATCTGCAGAATTAAAACACAGTAAATGCTCGCTCCAGGGTACTGTTAATTTACACACAGTAGAATGTATTTAGTCAACATGTTTTTTTACGTAGTTAACTATGATTATCTAACAAGAAATTCCTAAACAAGGAGCATGCCATGCAAATGTTAATGGGGTAGGAACAAACAAAACAAAACCCACAAACAAACAAACAAACAAACAAACAAACAAACAAACAGAAAAACACCTTTCAAATGATTCCCTCCAATTGCATATAAGCGATCATTCATCACAGCCAAAGTGTGGATGGCACGTTTCGTGTTCATGTCTTGTTTGCGGGCCCAGACATCCATGACAGGGTCATAACAGTACAACCATGGCACGTACTCTCCATTGTGCACACCCCCTGTGAAAGACAGACATATCTGGGTCAGGTAAGTGCCCCGGACAATGAACTTTAGAAAGAAAAATGGAGGAACGGCTTGCCTGAAATATATATTTTCCCATTGTGCACTGCTCCTGCATGGGCTGCCAGCGGCTGAGGCAGAGAGGACACATAGCGCCACTCGTTCGTGTCCAGGTTGTAGCACTCCACACTGGACAGGTAGCCGGTTTCATTCCTCCCGCCAATCACGTATAAATGCTTGTCCAAGCGGCAGGCATAGAAACTGGCTCTCCTGCAATGAGAACAACAGCTCTCAGTAAATCTGTGGGATATCAGTTTTGCAATGGGGTAAGGGGTACTCAAACAGCCTGTGAAAGGGGGGTATGTCTCCATAGAGGGCTGCAAACCGATGACCATTACTGATCTGCCTTCTAAATCCAAGACTGTCTATGGCAATCCTATGCATTTACCCACCCAGTTAGCACTTCTGATGTTGAAATGCTAAGATAGGAGAAAACCACTAATGCGTTGTGCTTGCTCTTTTCTTCCTGCTTTTTATACACTGCTAAAATGTTCATTAATGTTGGGGATGTTTGGTACTTTCTAAGGATATCATAGTTCAGTAAGACAAAGTGAAAAATGAGGTAGATAATGTAACAATAATAAATTATCTTGACATTCACTTTCTTTATGGTCCTTCAAGGGTCATTGTTCCCAATTTATTAGAAAACTGCATCATCAAAATTTCTCTTCAATTATCATTTTTCCCCTCCTAGTACGACTGCAAATAGAATAACTTTTGTGAACTTTGTATAGTGTTCCTATATATTTGACTTCTAACATATATATTTGGCTCTTCTAACACCAATTGCAGGAATTTCATCCAGGGAGCTTTTGGTATTGATTCTAATAAAGCTTCTGGATGACTTTAGTTCTCTGTTCAAGAGAGGCTACTGACAGTGTTTGCCTGCTACACTTTCAAAGGCAGAATGTATGAAATTCATTGAAAGGAAAGGTGACCGATTGAAGGTAGGCCATGATTTAGGTAGGAGATATTGAGAAGCTGCATTTAGACTTTCAGTAGAAGAAGTGGAAAGAAATGAAATGAAAACTGTGTTAATGGAGGTAGATGGAAGACATAACCAGTAAGACATGAGAAGTAAGACAGATGAACGGCTCAGAGGTCTAAGACATTCAGAGTTATGATGGCCAGACCTATGATGACCAGGATGGCATACGTGTGGTCCAGTACTGAATCAATATTATTGGTAAGTGCCAAGGCCCTGAAGGACATGATTTACACTGGATTAATTAATAGACTCTATGAAATTGATGCTAAGATTCTTGTGTAGCATCAATCACAGTATGGACAGTGCTAGAAATTTTTATCAGGTCAGGCATAGTATTTTCAAGGTTTTCAAGGATTTCAAGGATTGTGTGTGTGTGTGGATTTTCAAGGTTGTGTGTGTGTGTGGATTTTCAAGGTTGTGTGTGTGTGAAGTATTGAAACATCTGGGGGCAAGTGTGTGACACCTTGATGGACAATATGACTTACAAAACTAGACTGTCTGGTATGATTTACTAGGCATGTGACCTTTGACATGCTACATAACTCTCTCAGCCTCAGAGTGTTCTCCAGTAACATGGGGACAGTAAAGGAACCTTCCCTTGGGGGTATGTGCAGATATGTTCACATGCTTGCATCAGTGTCCACTATTGTTTATTCTCAGAAACTGTCAGGCAATCTTTACTTTGATAAAAAGTTTTTAAAAGTTGGTTCTCATGAACTCTTCCTATATTGTCCAAGGCTCTCATATTAGTGCTCAGGGCCATAAATATATTGGATTTCAGGAATCTTTATATTTAGAAATATATATGTGTGTGTATATATACATATACACACACACACATATATATACATATATATGTATATATATATATGTTTATTTATTTATAAAGAAGATGGTAAAGAGACCTAAATCTAAACACAAAATGCATTTTGGTTTTATTCGAACTTTATACACTTACTCCTCTTTCAGTCTTTAAACAAGTACTTACATGCATAAAATATTCTGTTTTATAGGATCCACTGAATCCAATTAGTGCATAGGCATGGGGCCACCCGCTGGAATATGGGCCACATGCCTAGAAAACGTGACTCTTCTTCTCCTGGCTGACAACTACCAATAGCTCTTTAGCTAGGGTTGGGGCTTTGAAAACCCTCTGAATTCATGCTAGAATTTTAATTGGCTTGATCTTGTTCAGGTCTTGAGTAGACAATACAGCTACTATGAGTTTGTATGTGCAACAGCCACTCCATGTTCAGAAGGCAGCATTTCATAGTATTCTTCCCCACCCTCTAGTTCTCAGAATCTTCTCTCTCAACCTTTAACATTTCCTGAGCTCTGATGGGAGGGGGTTGGTATAGATGTCATTTATATGGCTGGGCACACACAGTTCTTTATTCTTAGCACTTTTACCTGTTATGAGTGTCTATACTGGTGATTTTATACAATCTTTTCAATGTGCTTGTTTTATTGTGAACATGCCACCTGAAGTCACGTGTAAATCACATTGGATGAATTTCAGATTATAGATGCTCAGCTTGTGATACTGAAGTGATGGCCGAAGTGTCATATTTGCTCAGGTGATTTATCACTAAGTGTAATACTTTTGGGGAGATGATACTGTGTTCAACTTTTGTGATAGTCTTACATTGTCCTGACATTAGGCTGATATTTTGACCATGTTCTCTTTTCTGCATTTCATCCATATTTTTTTTAAAGAAGTATGTGCTGTGAATTATTTGGAAGGTGATAAAGAACAGAAACAGTGGAAGGAATTAGAAGGAGAAAAGTGGGACAAAAAAATTAAAGGTAAGTCAGATTTCATAAAATGAAGACTACCTTTTGGGTTCTGAAACCTTGATACTGTGTGTGTGTGTGTGTGTGTGTGTGTGTGTGTGTGTGTGTGTGTATCTCATCTAAGTATGAAATTGGGATTTTGAAAGTTGCAAAATAAGGTTCACAGAGCTGGTCCACTGACTTCTTCCACTTGAATAAACAGATTCTAATTGCTTTCTAATGAATATGATCTGTCAAAATTATTGAATGCTATTTTATTTTCAATTTAAAATCTTTCATTGAAAAGAATGACATGAGTCTTCAAAAGACGCACATCTCATTTCATTATGGACACAGAGAGGTCAGTGCACTTCTTCTAGATGGTTTTGTGATGGGCATGGAGGTCTCTAAAAGGATCATTTACTGATTGCACTAAAGAGTCACTGGTGTAGAATTGAACTACTGATTGTAAGGAGGAAATGGTCAGTTCTCAGTACCGATCCAGAAGATGACAACTAATCATGATGGATGTTGAGATC